CAGCCATTACAACATGGCAGCAGGAGGTTTGAGGGGTGAAAATGAACTTTTTCTTTTTTTTTTTCTAAAGCACATTAGGGAGAAGCACTTTATAGAACACATCATGGAAAAGTTCACCCATCTGCACCGCTAGATTGTTGTCATTTCCTAGCCGGCGAGGCCAGGCCGCCTGCCACTCAGACCTTGAGCTCAACTCCCACTGCAGATCAAAGGACTAGGTCAATTTTTTTTCCCTACCTCTGCACATCTGAAATAAGATTTTTTACTATGAAGTAAAAATTAAAAGAAACTTAAAATCCTGACGGACAGGGGTAAAATACCTGGTGTCAGTATTCCAAAAGTCAGAATGAAATATCCCTAGTAGTCAAAGTTACCCTAGTGTAGTAACTGGAGGTTTACAGAAGTCTAAAGCTTTGTTGGCAAGTTTTAAAAATAAGGCTATTAATGACTAGAGAAAGGAACTACACCATACAAACTACCATAATTATAATTCTTTTAGAACAAATACTATCCTCCCATAATTAAGTTTGGCTGTACATAATATATTCATCACCTGTGACAAATTTATGTATTTAGCTGCATATGAAAATACAATTTCCTAAGTACAAGTATCTTAAGATTATATTAAGTAAAGATCAGTACCAACTGGCAGGAAGAGCATTCATTGGTTTTGTGAAAATTAAAATGTAATAAAGTCAGGTGGAGAAAATATTCTTATTTGAACAATGTATTAGTGAAACAACTGTTCTGCTTGTAGGATCACTTAATAAAATGCAATTCTCTATACAGGTCTTTGTTTCCAGACATATACTTCAGAATAAAGTTTAAGTCAGCCCTTTGTTACTATGTGTTCATTTTCTTGTACGCATCTACTAGGTTGAGTTGACCTCAACCTAAGTGGATGCCTGGAAATCACTTCCTTACCTGATAATCAGTCCTGTTTCTAAGTGACCCTAACTCACCAACCCCCAACCAATGTACAACATAGTCCACTAAATATCAAATTATATATAAAATCAACTGTTGTTAACTCATCAGCAGAATGTTTTCTTTGGAAGTCCACCTACCTTGGTTCATAAGCTCCAATGGGAATAGCTGCAAGGTCAAACGGCCCAAATCTTCTTCCTATCTCTTTAAAAGCCGGGCAGTAACCAGTATCTCCTGCGAAAAAAAATCGATTCCAAGGCCCCAGGACAGACCAGCTGCCCCACAGAACCTTGTTGTCATCCAGTAGAGCCCGTTTACACCAGTGCTGGGCAGGTGTGAAGACAAAGGTGACCTTATCATGTCCGGGGACACAGTTCTCCTCCCACCAGTCCAGCTCAATCACATTCTCACAGCCGCACTTTTGCATCCAGTCGAGGAGACCCAAAGGCACAAACCATCTCAACTCGTTGCCGAATCGCTCATTCAGAGCTATGACAGAGTTGTAGTCCAGGTGGTCATAGTGGTTGTGACTGATGAGCACAGCATCAATGGGGGGCAGTTCGCTTATGGCGCAGGGCGGGTGGCGGAAACGCCTTGGGCCCATGCGCTGCCAGGGTGAAGCTCGCGCGCTGAAGACCGGATCTGTCAGGAATATGAGCTCGTCCATTTCCACCATCACCGTGGCATGCCCCAGCCATGTGACCCGCAGGCCAGCTTCTGTCACCCCAGCTTCTTCAGGGTCATCAATAAAATATGGCTTCAGCACTGGGAGTTCTTTGTCAAGTTCCTGTACATGCCAAGAAGAAAGAAGCAGCTGTTAGGGAAAAAAATCAAGGTATGATGTCACCACAGAACACATCTGACCTAAATTCTAGAGAAGAGGGCTATTTGGGGAAAATTGAAGTCATTCAGTATATTTGCTATTTTTGCTTTTCTCTCGAAAATGCTTATACTTCCTTGTGAATCAACCATCACAGCAAACAGCAATGGGAGAAATTAGTCTGAAATACAATAGACAACGGGGAATTTTTAAATGTTGAGTGCTGCTTGAATTAAGTGTTTTAAACATTCCTAAAGTCCAGAAGTAGATGGCCCACATGCCGTCACTTTGCTAGTGCCATTTCACATCTGCCATTAAGAACTGCCCCAGAAGCACGTCCTGGAAACAGTAAAGAGAGAGCAGCTATTTGTAGACCCAGATCTCAGGTACAAACCTTTAACTTCTGAGCACACAGAATTCTGAGCTGAGTGCCATGGTGACTCCTGGCCAGCCACAGTCAACAGGCACATCTCCACTTTCCTTCCCCTTAAAGTACCATTGAGCAAAGGCAAAGTAAAACATGGTCCCTGCCTGGGAGGAAAAATCTTAGCTGTAAACAGATGTGAAATGATGGCTACAGTAAAATGCGATTTTTTTTCTCCTTGGGTTAAGGTAGGACAGCAAGAAGCTGTTTCTAGGCCATGTGCCTTGACATCAGGGTCCCTTCTGTCTCAAAGCACCTGCTGTGTCAGTGCTAGAGGGTACCTCAGCCAGCCCCCCACCCCTTTTCCTCAGTATTACATGGCTCCTCACTAGAGCATCCTGCTTTCTTCCTTTGACTGTCATTAGTTTCAATTTCCCACAACAAGGGCTGTGCAGAGCAGAAGCTTATCATCACAGAGGGCTCGATGGGAGGCATTTCTGTCAACACCTTTACTGGTTTAAGTTTCTATTCTATTTGCTTTCGCATGTATCCATCCACACGTGTACTTTAGTAAACAGGCACACATCAATACTGGCAGAGGTGCAGTATTGTTAAATACATGACACACTATACAGCCCCTGAGGAAGAACAAAGCGCCCAGCAGCCAGAGTTATCACCAATCTGATAATCTGTGTTACCAGGCTGCAGCTGCAAATAAGGATAAGCAGCTCATGGTTCAGAAGAAAGATGGGCCTTTCAGGTGGACAAGCTGCTCAGCAAAGACAGCCAAGTGGCATTTGGGGCCTGGGGACAAACAACTGTCAGAGGATCAGAACACAGAGCTTTTGATGTCAAGAAAAATCTTGATCTAGCAAAGAAAATGCTGGGTGGATGTTTGGTTTGCTCAAACAAGAATTTAAGTGATATATATTGAGACATGAGGAAACCCTTGGAATTTTCTTTTTAAAAAGCTGACACTGGGCCCTCCCTGGTGGTACAGCGGGTTAAAGCCCAGCACTTAAAGAAGCTTAAGCCACTTCAGCATGAGTTCGATCCCGCCCCCGAAGGTGACCCACATGGCTCGCAGACCTCTCCTGACCTGCCCGCTGCTTCCCTCAGCAATGTATGTCAGTCGGCCTGTTCTGCTCCCCACTATCTCTGGTGAATCTTCTCACCGCCCCTGCACCCAGTTCTGTATGCATAAATAAATAAATCTTTAAAAAAAAAAAAAAAGCTGAGTCTTTACATCTTGGATTTGTCCAGGACTAAAGAGAGAAAAATCTATTTTGATGTGTAGGAATGCATGCAGCTTTGTGATTCTCCACCAAAAAGAGTAGCCTTGTAAGAGTTTTGGGTGACAAAACATTCAGACCAGATGAGATCCAAACATTTTAAAACATTTTGATGAAATAGCTTGGTGGCTATTTCTGGATCTAAAAATACTCTCAATTTCTCAGTTACGTTCTTTGTCCCAATTAAACCAGAGCTAGTAATTCATTGTGTTTTCCTAAGACATTTTGCAGGTGCTGCAGTGAAAGACTGCTGCTCTGGAAGGCTCTGACCTCATTCTAGTAAGGGGAGAGACCAAGGCACAGAAAGACCAAACATGGCCCCACAACATAGGTGATCACTATGATAGTCGGAGGGGCTGGTTAAATGCATAAAGGATGCTCCTTTTTGCAAAGAAATCAGATGTTGATTTCTTTCTCTTCTTCCACTGTTTTTTTTTTTTTTACCTGTTAAATGGATTCCCCTACCACTCCACCTCCCTTTAAGTTTAAAAATCAAATACACTCCAGGGAGGCAGAGACTTGATAAAAAAAGGTTTAAGACTTGAATCCATTTTAAAACTTGCTCATAGAGCTCTGAAAGCTGGTGGCAGAAAGGCTCATACCGCCCAAGGTGAAACAGCAAAATGAGAGGGCTGCTCACATGTCCTGGCACAGGTGAGTGTGCAGCATCCTTGTTACTGTCTCGGTCAGCACATGGATCTGCATTGCCAGGCGTAACACCCAGGAGTCAGAAGAGCAAAGCAGCTGGGCCAGGACAGTGGGCAGGCACCAGGGACAGAGGCTGAGTTC